AACTTATTTACTCACTTTAAAAAATATGCTTTCAGGGCTTCCCTGGTGGCGTAGTGGTTGAGAGTCCGCCTGCCGATGCAGGGAATGCAGGTTTGTGCCCCAGTCCGGGAAGATCCCACATGCTGTGGAGTGGCTGGGCCCGTGAGCCATGGCCACTGAGCCTGCGCGTCCGGAGCCTGTGCTCTGCAACGAGAGAGGCCACAACAGTGAGAGGCCCACGTACCGCAAAAAAAAAAAAGAATCAGCTTAAATCCATTTACCTAAATAAAATTTTCTCTAGAGTATAGTGATGTTTCCCTCAGCTGAAATAGAGCAATTATAGGCTGTATAATTTATTGATAATTTTTCATGGTGTCTTAACTCTATTTTTCTCTTGAAATGTTAAATTTTGAATTAGTATTTCACTTTTTTCTTTTTTGCAGTACGCGGGCCTCTCACTGTTGTGGCCTCTCCCATTGCGGAACACAGGCTCTGGACGCGCAGGCTCAGTGGCCATGGCTCACGGGCCCAGCCGCTCCGTGGCATGTGGGATCTTCCCGGACCGGGGCACGAACCCATGTCCCCTGCATCGGCAGGCGGACTCTCAACCACTGCACCACCAGGGAAGCCCAGTATTTCAGTTTTAAGAGTTTTTTTGTGTGGTAATTTTCCCAGCTAGATTGCAAGGAATTTGGGGGCAGGGTTTTATGCTTCTTGTGTTCCCTCTAGCAATGAGCACATATAAAATCTGTGCCCCCAGCAACTGCTAACTTAGTTGAAAATAAAATTTACCATCCCCCTGGTTCAGAAGATTAGTTAAGAGCTAAAGATAGACACACACACACACAGACACACACACACACTCCTCTAGACACATACAAATCTAAAAGCATATGCATCAGAGATTATTTTTATCATGTAAAATTTCAAGCATATACAAAACTATACGATGGGATAATGAATCCCCAATAACTTGTCCAGCTTCAACAATTATCAATGTTGAGCCGGTCTTACATCTCTTTCCTTCCTTCTTTGTTTAAAACCAAATCCCAGGCATAATATCAATATCAGAAATATTTCTCAAACACATTACCGATAAGATACATAATCAAGTACTAAGTCAGTTACTGGACTGGCTTTTATCAGAGTCAAGTAGGAAAGCTGCATGAAGGTAAACCAAATCACCATTTGATAGGCCAAACAGTGGTAGACACAGCTACATAAACTACTTCCTAGTTCTCAAAGAAGCTGTCCAGACACTCCAGCTGCCTTCTCTATAGGATAAACATCTATATAGCCACTTCTATGAATGGATGAACAACTGACTTCCTCTTGAATTACAGTTCATTTACTTAAACGTATCTATGTCCCAGAAGTTAAAATATCATTATTTTAAAAGATAATTATTTTTAAAACCTTTCAACTTTCTTCATTCTCATTTCTCTATTCTGCAAAATGCATTATGAAGGTTCTCTAAGTAGCAGTGATTTATACCAGTCATGCTAGTAGGCAGGAACTCAGGCTCAGGAGCTGGTCAAATGCAATTAGCTTGAGAATGTCAGACCTAAGATTTGCTAAAGTATTATATATCAACAACAAAGAAAGCTGCACAGAGATTTGTAGTAATGAAATCCATAGACATGATTGCATTTCTTGTGCTGTTTTGAGATGTCTGTACCAAGAAGTGTACATTATTAAATATAAATTCAAGATACAAATCAGAATTTATGGACTACAGATATGAAAAGTGGTTTTAAAAAAAAATTTAGGGCAAGACAATGAATTCTGAGATCTTGTAGAAAAGATGGCTATATAAAGAAGGAACAAAAATACTAAATTAGGTGACAAATCAAAGCAGGAGACCATGCATTTTTGATGTTTAAATAATTTTTTTATTCTTTTTGTCAAGTCTCAGAATATTCCCTATTTGCCATTAATATCTGACTTTCGGTTAGTCAAATTTCACAAGTTTTTATGTGCATGTCTGTGTACAATCCTTTTATTATCAAAATAATACCACTGCAAGGAAAAAATATTCCAAGATCCAATAGACTGACCAAGTGATTTTTTTATTTGTTTAAATGTCATGGTGGTAAGGAGTATACAATGGAGTTCTGGCAACCACATTCAAATTCCAGCTCTGCCACTAAATTGTGTGGCCTTGGAAAAGTCATTTAAACTTCCTGAGTCTCAATTTCCATTTCCATTAAATGATCCTCAAACTTGTCTGGGGAGCAGGGCCTTTGGAGGCTGTAGGACTCTTGCATGTTATCAAGAATATATATACCGTATACTAGATATTATACTTATTTCCATTACATATACTTAGAACAGTTTTACTTCTGGGGGGAAAAAAAGACTTTGCTATATAAATGCAGGTCTTGACATCCTAAAAGTATAAAAAAACATTTTTTTAAGAAATTATAATTGTAAAATTTTCCTCTGTCCATTCAGAATTTGGGCATTCATTTTGTTACAGCTCAAAAACAAGAGCATTAAGTGACTTTCCTACAACTTAATGATTGTCCTTGTATCATAAAGCTAGTAAGTGGCAGAGTAAGGATTCAAATCCAGGCTGTGGGGCTCTAAGGCACCTTGACCATTACACTGCTCTTTAAGAGTCTCTGAACTAGATGGTCCCTTTTAGCATTAAAATTTCAAGAACCCATTATTAGTTATTCCTAGAAATATTTACTAATAGTGTGCCAAGCATGGTACTAGGAGAGGCAGGAATACAAAGAGGAATCTGATGCCTTTCCCACCAGCTAGGGAGGTGACAATATGGGAAGTGGAAAACAGTGTACAGAATGAGAGCAACAAAGAGCTATAATGTTCCAGATGGCTGAGGTGCTCTCCTATGGGGCACTGAGGAAGGCATGATTAATGGGGGGATGCGTGCTAGAAAAGAGGACTCTTTGGAGAATGCAAGCAATTCCCAGCTGCTAGATTAGAGTGGGATTAGAGAACAGAAACAGGCTTTGCAAGGGGGTAGGGGCGGCAATAAATGAGTTCAGTTTTGGAAATGTCGCTGGAGGCAACCACACATGAAACTATAGGACTTGGGATCAGAGACTCAAGCTCTACTGGGGTACAGATTAAGTGGTCAATACAGTATTTTAGATGGTGGTTGAAATAAAGAGACATCATTCATTCAGGTGTTGTGGACACGGAAAAAAGGGAAGTGGTCTAAGGCAGAAACCTTGGACGATAAGCACTTAAGAAATGGGCTTTAGAAAATAAATCACAAGGAGTTCAAGACAGAGAAGAGAGAAAAGGTGACCCAGGAGAGAGCCATGGATGCCAAGGGAGAAGAGTTCATCACAAAGAAAGTAGTAACAAAGGTTAGATGCCACGAAGAAGTCAAATAAATTGAGAGATAAAAAAATTATAATTTGGTAATCCAGGGTTTTGCTAGAGGACTCATCACCCAGCTTCATCAATTATCAACGCATGCCAATCTTACTTCAACATTCAACATCAAAAATGTTTTTAGTATACATTATCAATCAGTTACTTACTTTGCTAATGCATATTCAGAGGACATGTGTGAGGCATCCTGATGGTAGGAGATACAACACAAGTGGGAAAGCAAGGACTAGCTTCTCTAAGAGCAGGCTCTCCTTATGAGGAAAGGCAAGAGGCAGGAGAGAGAAGGCAGAAGCAAGGGGAGGACGTGCAGTCAGAGCAACAGGAGATTGGCACTTGTTTTGCCCTCTTGACAATTTTAACCTAGGAAATACAAGAGCTTGCTGATGAATCGCTGGAAAGAGCTGGGGGGAAGGGGAGGGGGAGAGACTGAAAATAAAGAGATGGACTGATGCTGGGTCTAAACGAGACTAAAAGCAGTTGTGGGACTGGGTATGAGCAGAAAAAGGAACTCCATTCTTCTGCGACTGGAGAAAAGGAAGTGATAGTAAAGGTTAAGGTCACTTTATCTGTTCTTTGGAAGATCAGAATGAAGAAATCCATCATTGATAGACTCGATTTTCAACAGGAGAAAGAATAAATCAACATTTTAAGAGAGAGAATAGGGCTTGAAAGAGTTGCTATGGGGAAATGAACTAAGACCCTGCACAGAGGCAAGTAAAGGAGTCGTTCACTTGGGGTGGCTGAGGGCCCAGCTGACAGTGGGCGCAGTGAACACTAATATGATTATTTCACTGCAGGTACCTAAGCACAACTGCGGTTCTCTCTGGCCTAGTCTATATAACATGCTACTCTGTAAGACTAAACTGCTGTAGCAGGCTGGCTGGCTGTCAAGCAGGAAACATTTTTCTCACTAGAGAAATCTCTGTTCTCCAAGTATTTCTTTCTTGCCTATATACTACTCCCAGTTTGGGGAGGTTGAGATTCTCCCCGGTATTTCAGGATTGCTTGAGCTATGGAGCAATGGTGACCAACAGGGGCCCATGCTAATGTTTTGCTCGAGTGTTTTAAAACTTGAGAAATTAAACATAAAAATCTGGATTTTCCTCTTTTGTTATAAAAGTCCAGAGAGCACTTAGTTTGTGTAAAGAATGGGTTGCAGGAGAGTTAGGACCGGTTCACATTCCCTTGTTCACCACAAGCCTCACTAACCTTTCCCTGTAATGTTGATGCCCATGTTTATACTTCCCTCTGCTAGAGAAGAATATTTATTAAGAATAATATTAATCTAATGTTAGGATTTCACCTATACTACAAAATACACACAAGACCATACAAATAATCTTTAAAAGAATTTTAGGCCATTTATTGATGAGCAGGTGAAGGCAATTTTGGAGCTGAAAGGCCATTCTGAGCTCCTCCTCCACTTATTAATGAAACCATCCATCCCTATTCAGCAGGTGAGTCCAAGAATATTATGAAGTTGTGAGCTGTGCTTGATGGGAGAAATCTCACCTGGACTATTGCAATAGCCTCTCAACCAAGCTCCTTGATCAAACCCTCCTCTTAAGATCTTTCCTCCACACGGCAATATTACTCACATATGTTGTTTTACAGATATGGAGAGCACAGCCCAAAGAAGTCAAATAACTTACCTAATTCTGCTGGATCGGAGACCAGAATGGAGGCCCTCCTATTTCTTCCAGTACTCTTCAGGTTCCATCTTGTCTTTTTAAATGCTGCTTAATTCCTGAAAACAGAAAATATGATTTTTTTTTTTTTTGCTAAACTTGTTTGTTAAAATTAAGTGCTCCTTGCATTTCACTGTATAGGAATTAAACCTCTGCAGCTGTATCCCCACACCCAAACATATACATGCACCATCTCATTCGGTAGCGAACACACAATCATAGTTTCCTTCCCATGAGACATATTATGCATGAATATAGGGTAATTAGTCTTTAAAAAGATATTTCTACTTCATGAACAGGAGAGCTAAATTAAGCACAAATTAAAAATGTTTTGAAACAAAACAGTCTTCCACCAACACTTCTTATGTCTTTCAGATACTGTTGCAATTAGGTTAGTTAGAAAATCTGTATCTTATTTGGAAAAAGTGTTTACGGGCACTGTGTAAACTTGGCCAAAACCAGTTCTAAAAACTTTTTATTCCTCTCATCTTCTGGAATCTAACACATTTCACAATGGCCCATAGATATGTGCATTCTAATTTTAAAGTATAATGGAACTGGCAAGATGAAAGCCTTGTATTAAACAACTATTCATTAACAACAGCTATACTCTACTTTGGATTACGAGGGAATGAACTGCATGATATTCCACTGTAAATAAATTCTGAGTGGCATTTATGAAAGTATAAGAATGTGATATTTAAAATAAATAACAGGATTCTAATTTAGATTGTATGATAAAAATTTACTGTAATTTCCTGAAAGTTCTGCTGATAACCATAGCAGTCAAGTAAGATATAATAATCTAGAAAGCAGTAGATACAGTCACCTTCTGACTGAGACAATGCAGGCCAGGAGTCTGTTATTTATTTAATAAGTAAACACTCAATTGCACCTACTCTGTGTCAATGTTCAAAAGCTTTACAAATATTCTATAATTGAATCCTCACAACCACCAGTGAGGGGTATGCACTATTATTACCCTCATTTTTTTTTTTTTTTTGCAGTACGCAGGCCTCTCACTGCCATGGCCTCTCCCGCTGCAGAGCACAGGCTCCGGACGCGCAGGCTCAGCAGCCATGGCTCACGGGCCCAGCCGCTCCGCGGCATATGGGATCCTCCCAGACCGGGGCACGAACCCGTGTCCCCTGCATCGGCAGGCGGACTCTCAACCACTGAGCCACCAGGGAAGCCCTACCCTCATTTTTACAGATGAGGAGACCAAGCTGTAGAGACTAAGTAGCCCGCCCCACCATATACCTGACAAGTACCTCTCTCCGGTCAGCAAATAATATCGTATTTGACTCTTTGAACATATTCAGGTGACACAGGGGAAAAACAGTTTTTGAATGAGAAAATAGGGCAAAGAGAAGAGAAGCAGATTTGTAAACAGGAGACTCAATGAAGACAGTAGCAAAATGCAGGGCTATAAAAAATAGGGATGGTGTTCTGAATAAAGACCTGAAGTTGGAAGTGAACTTAAGAGTTAGTTCAGCCTCTCAGTTTTCAGATCAGATATTGTGGCCAAGGAAGATTAAGTGTTATGTTCAAACTTCCACAACTGATTAACATCAGAGTTGGAGCACTCTCCAACTCTGACACTCTCACTGGCACCATCTCTGAGCCAGGTCTGCACTGAGCACTTAGGGTAAAATCTAAACTAAGGATCCTCACCTCTCAGGAAGTCACCATCAAGAGAAAGAGACCAACTGACACACAAATAATAACTGTAGTGTGAGGTGTCCTGGTAGACCTCTGGACAAAGAGAAAGGATTAACAGTACTTGGGAAAGACAGGGAATATTCTATAGGATGATTAATTGACTGATACGGAAAAATGTAAAGGACAAGAAAGATTTTGCCAACCAGAGAAGAGAGAAGGCCATTAAAGGCAAAGGACTTAGCCCATAAGACAGACCTGAGTTCTGAAGCAGTGTGGCATGCCCCATGAACACCAGGTACATTAAGTGTATTCATTCAAATACGTTTTACTCAACCAACTTTTGTTGAGAGCCTATTATGTGCCAGGTAATGGCAGCTCAAAGATGACTGAAAAAAATGTTGTTGTTTTCAAGTCACAGGGAATTCCCAGTCTAATCTGGGAAGCCAATTAGACTTAAGTGTAAGCAAATTAGACTAAGTACTAGGTGAGAAGTCGTAGCTTATTCTGCTTCACATCTAAATAAGTATTTCTATCTGGAGAGGACATGTTGGTAAGGAAAGGCTTTTTTTTTTTTTTTTTTTCTTTTGCAGTACACAGGCCTCTCACTGTCGAGGCCTCTCCCGTTGCGGAGCAACAGGCTCCGGATGCGCAGGCTCAGCGGACATGGCTCACGGGCCCAGCTGCTCCGCGGCATGTGGGATCCTCCCGGACCGGGGCATGAACCCATGTCCCCTGCATCGGCAGGCGGACTCTCAACCACCTTGGCGCGCCACCAGGGAAGCCCAAGAAAAGGCTTTGAGATGAAGCAACGTTTGGTTTGAATCTTGAAAAATGGATAGGTGTTTTGTAGGAGTGTAAGGCAATGACAATCTAACATAAATAATATCTTGCTGCTTATGTCAGAGGCTGTCCGACTTGATAAGAAGGCAATGTTGGTCATTACCTTGTAACTGGATCCTCATGGCATCTGGATGCTAATCAATTAGACAGATGCTGAAGAGAAATAAATAACTCTAAATATATAAACCTCAAGCATAGCCTGTTGTCTCAAAAACAGCTCTAAATGACAACAGATCACGAGGTTGCAAATTCCTTTGAAAGCACTTCCCAGTTGAAGGAATCGCAAAATAAAGTGACCACAGCTCTGGAAAATAAATAGAAATCCCTTTCTATTTTATTCTTTTACTTTACAATGTTGGAAAAGCTCAAACAAGCAGTATAGTTTCCTAAACCACACAGGCCGCTCTGTGCTGATGCCCAAACACTTGGAGCAGGGGCTTTGCCTTCATCTCTTTGGGTGGCAACTGAGAAATGGTCCATGGAAAATAAGAGGAACAGATGTGGAAATAAACCAAGCTGTGACCCTTAGTCTGACAGGCTGAAGAAATCAGATCACCCCAGACCCTTGCTGCACACATAGGGAAGAGGTTAGTGATGGGAGTGAGCAGGGACAGTGTCGCAGTTTGCACAGGTTACCATGCTGGCTCCAAAGCAAGCAGGTTGATGACTGGATCTGCAGTCAGGGATCAGTCAGCTTCTGATGGGAACTGGGTGCAGCAAAGGACACTCCTTAGCAATGTGCGTACCACCTGTTAATAGGGCCTAACCAACCCTAGACATCTCCAAGTTCGCCTTAAATACCCGAATGATTTGTCAAACACCACGCATGCCTGGACATAATGAGCCAGGCTGCACCAATAAATGTCCTGCGATCACAGGCATTTTTGAACTGAACATCACAGGGTAAGGAACAGAATACCAAGAATACATAAGCCATAAAAAAAAATGAAAATGAACAGAAGGAATAAACATTTTGAAACTCACTTCATCAAGCTAATCAACCAGGGCCTAAAATCAGCAATTCCTCTGAAGCCTCTTTAAGAAGCCGACAAATCACCCCTGTTGACAAGCACAGTTGGCACGCCTCTGCTGGATGGGATCCTAAAGACTAGACATCAGTTGCTCAAAGAAAATTTTTTTTTTTTTTTTTTTTGTGGTACGCGGGCCCCTCACTGCTGTGGCCCCTCCCGTTGCGGAGCACAGGCTCCGGACGCGCAGGCTCAGCGGCCATGGCTCACGGGCCTAGCCGCTCCGCAGTATGTGGGATCTTCCCAGACCGGGGCACGAACCCGTGTCCCCTGCATCGGCAGGCGGACTCTCAACCACTGCGCCACCAGGGAAGCCCTCAAAGAAAATTTTTGAAAGGGGCAAGTCCAGTGGACAACAAGCTAGACTCATCCTTTATAGCAGATCCACATTTTAAAGGGAAAACAACGAGAGTGACAGGGTCTCATATAAATGAAACTCTAGTGCTTTCCTTGACCCCATGGGCTTTTCATAAATGGTCTATCTTTTCAGTGCAGTGTAGCATCACCAAAGTGACTGTTTACTTTATTGATTTGTGTTAGATATAGTTACAGACAGTAAGTGATAGATCATATCTGTAAGGCACATGAGGTCAGAAATAAACAACATTTATCCTAAAGCTAGGTACAATATTCTATGGACCATAAGTAATTAAATTTGTGGAAACTGAATAGATCATTTTAAGTTCTTGAGGATCTTTGCTTCAGATAGTTTTCTTTTTTTTTTAGGACAGTGGATTTAAAGTAATTAAAGATTTTTCCCAAAACACTGTAGCATAAATCTATTTGAAACATAACAGCTAAGAGAGAAAGAGAGGGGGAAGGACAGAGTGAGAGAACAGGTTGTGAGGGGAAGAAAAATGCTAATTCTAATTAACTGGGAATAGTTTGCATCTATATATAACTCATTAGCTGTACTGCATAACAGATGACTGGTTTTCATTTGCTCAGTGATAAAAGATTTCCAGCCCCCAGAGTAAAAGCCCACATGAGATGTTATATCTTCCCATGTGAATAATTATTCAGTCGTCAAGAAAAGACAGAGGCTTTGTCCACAAGTGGCTACCAGATTGAATCAGAATCAAGAGTTCCAGCAGAACTCTCCAGTAGAACTCTTTCCAGCAGAACACATTTTTGTCCTTCACTCATTCTTCATTATTTCAAAAAATTTTGAGTGAGCAGTGAACAAAAAAGACCAAAAATCCCTTTCCTTATATTTGGAGACTGGAGATAACCAACAAAATATATAGTATGTTCCATGTTATATATGTTACACGTTAATAAGTGTTAAGGAGGATAATAAAGCAGGAACTAGGGGTAGGAAACATGAGAGCAGGTTGCAGTTTTAGATCAGGAGAGCAGGGAATACCTTGTTTAGAGAGTGTCATCTGAGTCAAGATCTGAAAGATGTAAGGGAGTGAACTAGGTGGATAGCTAGGAAAATAGAATTCCAGGAAAGGGAACAGCAAGGGCCAAAGGCTCTGAGGGTGGAATATGTGGTGTGTTTAGTAACACTACAGAGGGCAGTGTAG